CAATATCAGGTATTTCGCCATTGTTGCTGTTTGATATAGATACTTTTTTTTGGTTTGTCCACCTTTCAAAATCATCAAGTAAGTTCATGTTCATATGCTGTACCGTTTTTGTCTTATTCAATTTATCACTGCTTATTAACAATAATTGAGGGATTTACGTCGCAACACATAATATTTATGCCTTACTTTACCTGAGTACATCCAGTACGATTGTCTACGTGAATATCATGATTTGGAAGTATTTTAATTAATTTGATATTAATAGTTTTTTTTGTATACTGAGCTTTATCCATTAACTCTCATGGCACTAAAATTACTGCTTATAACCCGAAAGTACCTTTCCATGAAGCTTCAGATCAAAATTGAAGTAGGTAAACTAAATTTTAGTTTGGTTTAGTTGCATTAAAGTTTTGGTTGGCCCTATTCAGTATCTATCGGAAAAATGGGTTTGTCACTTCGGTAGGTAATGGGAATCAAATTAGCCAAAAGTGTGTACTAAAACTACACCATTTTGGCGACAAACAATTTAATGTAAACATATAATCTATTCGAATGCGCATGATGTTCTTCAGCAACGAAATCAGGCGCCGACGCAGACCTCTTATAGCTGTAGACGTTATACGGTGGCGGGTTCGAATCCCCCCAAGAGAATTTATCTCTTGGCTATGGATGTTGTGATTGTCCATATAAGGTAGACGGTTTGTGACTGTCGAACGTGGAGGTACCACCCGGCGGATCTCTAGGGCGGGGCTGGAATGTGTGCATGTTATATGCACACGTGTTCTCTCGCTAGAGCCTGGTGGCGTCCCCACCTCTCCCCCCTGTATCCCACTATAACCTCACGGTACCCATGGGTGAGGCTTCCGTGGTGGTTAAAGTTTTAAAAAAGTATTATAAAATTACGTAAAATTGAATGTACTATAATAAAAGTTATTACACATGGTTTGGATGTCACTTTTCAACAGGTCGAATATTCTGACTTGTACACAAGTTCTACATCAATTTTGCAGTGAAGGCTATAGGGACAAATATCTGTTTTGCAACCAAAATAGAAGAATGTTCTGCTACATAGATTCTATATTTCATGTAGTGTCCATTGGGCTTCTTGTAACTTTTCCCTAGGGGTTGCTCAAGGCTGTATCGTCAGCCACCTTAAACTATTGAAGGAATTGATGTATCCCAGCGGTGTTATCCTCACTTCTACATAGAAGGGCAACTCCTTCCAGAATGGATTCTAGTTTTGATATGACCGCTGGCCAATCGTGAAGTAAGTACATAAGGAAGCGCCATATCTCATAGAGATGCTTCGTTAGCTTATTGAGTCGAAAAATCATAACAAACCAGGGCAAAATGCAGAGGGGCTCTGAACCCAGAATTCTGTTTTTATAGCTCTTATTGCTAGTCGTTCAGCTGTAATATTACTTTTGGATTCTGAGCAACGCTATATTCAGGCAACAGTTATATTGTTGTTGGTGGAGGTACTCCACACTAATCGAGTGTTTGCGGATTTTTATTTATGAAATTTTGGAGCCAGCCTAGCTACTATGTACTGTTATTACCCGTTTTATATTCACCTGTAGCCATCCTTCGATCCCAATATTGTTTCTCAAGAGGTGAGTAATGAACATCTGAAACGATTTACATATTCATGTCTCATAAACATGCTTAGTTTATAATAATGAATTCAATCTGAGAAATTTACTGTTACTCCGACACGCATTTGTGTTACAAATGTCTAGTTTTTTTATACATTTTATAACTTCTTATGTTTTGCAGCATTTTAAAGATCGCTTTTTACAATTCAAATTAGTGTGTTCGATGAAAAATCGCTGCATGGATTTGTTCCTATCGATCACATTTATTTATAAACGTACAAGAATTCGTCGGTCGGTTGATAATTAAAAGCATGTAAGTGATGTGAATTACCTCATGTTTCTATTTTGGTATCATTGTTAATGTCGCTTTTACGTACAGGTATTCTTAAAATTATGCTTATTCAACTAGCGAAAGCTCGTGCAACACCTTACAGGAAGAACATTTCAGCATTTCAGGCTTCTGTAAAAAAATCGCCAAAAATTATAGCGTACTCAATACACAACCTCTCCAATATCTACCATGACTGCTTCCTTATTTTTTCGTCTCTAGTTAAATGTACGCCTGAAATAATACTATCATTAAGGGTAAATCGTGCTGCGTTTCTTCATGATGGGTAGCGTCTGAGATCAGACATTTCAAGGGCTGCCAACCAGCAAACAATTTTGATACACCCGCGAATATAGTTTTATTTAACCAACATTGACGTTAAAACATTTTTAAATCACCTTGTATGACAGTTCGCGGCATTGGAGTTTTTTTGCATTGTGCGAATATTGGAAATGCTGAATTTGTATTAGGAGCGTAAAGAACTTTCTTTTAGTAACGCAACCACTTATGCATAATAAAAAAGTAGAAAGTGAAGTTAGATGATCTAACACATCGTCTTAACAGTATTGAAATAAACCCGCCTATATTAGAATCTCACTTCAACGCCATCGGTTGCATAAAATTTGACGAATGGATGTTAAACCTGATCTGCTATATTTGACGCCTCTTTCACAGTATAACTACATTTTTTTTAAACTGACAACAAAAGTTCCCAATCGTTGACCACATTATGAGCGATATGTCAGATCTCCACAACGGATCATCCAAAACTAAACCTCAAAATTGTTTTTTCAATAAATGAAAATTCGCATGTAATGTTGCATATAGCCCTACTAATAAAAACGTTCTCTTACTCAAGACTGTGCTAGGTGTGGCTTAATAGATATGTGTTCAATTTACTAGTAGCAAATGTGTACAATATAACAATAATGCTGTTATCTACATTTTCTGTAAATCTGAATGTAGGTCTTTTAGAATTTGAAAGATATATATATATATATATTACTACAATGTGTAGGTTGGCTCTTGTTGAGGACTTGTTGGGTGTTGTTTTTTCATCTCCATCTTCGTTTTCCCAGGTTACACCCGTATCCGGATGTGTGGGCATGTGTATCTACTTTTGTAGTTGCATATGTGCATTCATGTCGGGCCTGATGGAGCCAACCAGTAGAAATACGTATCGCTCTGGTTACCTATCCTATTTTCTGCTCGAATCCACTTTCCTCCTTTTTGCGGACTTTACCCATTATTTTCCTATTTTTTGTTGTATATATGTTCTGCTGTATGTACAGATTAACGAATTAACGGAGACAATATATGCACGATAGGTACATTTTCTGAAGGCTATAAAGGAGTTGATATACATTCAAAAAATATTTTTAAAACAATTTTCACAGTATTTCTTTTGGGAGTCATCAAGACATACATCATTTTTAATTATTTGTATTGCAAACTTTAAACGTGTATTGATATGAAATTCAAAAGATTTTGTGTCCTTGCTTATCAACGATTTGGCGACAGTTTTATACTTTGAATTAGTGCGTTTTGTGACATATTTTATGCCGTAAAAATGTATACTCGTAAAAATATACTAGTTGATGAAAAAAGTTTATGAACTGCTTTATAAAAATTTACGCAGTACTTATAAAGATACCGAGGACTGACCTCAAAAGTGTTATCCTTAGGATAAATATTTATATTCGTGAAATATAGATATAATGTAGGCAGAGGCAAATGTACCAGATCAAAGTAAGTGGAATCCAAACTACAAAAGAGTACAAAATATATTTGTTCGATCCAATTTTATAAACGGATTCAGTTTATGATGGTTTTAAGAGTTCAAGCCAAACGGTTTCAAACATTCCACAATTGCGCATTCATGCGCAATAGGAAACGATAGTCTTAGGTAGCTTTTCGCAAGACGAAAATACGTATCAGTCATTATGTATCAGAATTTAAACTGTTATTATTGTATAGGTATTTTCAGGGATTCATTTTCTATCGTTACTGGGTTCACTACTAAATTAGAATAACCTAAGCTGCCACGAATTCGAAGAATTACTCTAAATAAATGAAGGCTACGGCCACCCATACGCAAATAATGCATATACATATACATTCTCTTAATGTTGACTGCTACTCTATTAACAATTTTTTCGCATTAATGATTGAGAGTAAGGTACCTATTCAAATTGAAAACAGAACAAATCCATTGAATAAATTGGTTACTCTATTCAACATGATTATTCTCATTAGATGGTAATGATAAATATTGTTGTATATATAGGTATATTGTTTTAAACTTGTAAGTTATCCGTATGTCTTAAGCATCAGGCAGTTTGCGAAAAAGCATTATCGTAATATCCGGATATATTTTCATCGCTTATCTGCTATTTCGTAATTTTTCAGTTGTTCGTTCATTCAAACTAATTCCGAAATATCAGATTGTAATCTTGGAGCCATAATTTGTGTAGTATTAACCATCCATTAATTCGATGCCACATAGTGAACGTTGAATGATGCTTGCTTGCCTGTAGTTTCACAAGTAAAGTCCGGCTTTTAGGCAATAGAGAATGTAGGAACTGCAAAGTGATATGATTTGTAGTCTATCCGTTATAGATATGGCCGATTTCGTTGTTTTTGAATATCTGTGATATCTGATATTGTTACTTTTTGTTATAATATATATCACGGCTTTCGAATAACGATGAGATTATGGATATACTGATATCCTTTGTAAAATATCGCAATGAAATCGCGTGGAGCCAACTACCGAAGCCTATACGGCACGAAGAAGGTGCCGTGAAACACAATTTTAACTTTATCCTATTTTCTCTCGACACTTCGAGAACATTCATTCTGAGGGTGATGAAAGGCATGCATTTTTTGTTTTTTTTTTACGATTATGCCCCTCTTCCATTCTCTAAAAACTGGGAGCGATTGAATAGCTTGTGAATCTTTCCTGAAGACTTTAGTACATTGATAATTGTTTGGATAACATGAATAATGTTTACGTGCATTTATGATTGCGATTAAAAATGAATGACGTATTATTTGTTCTTTTTTATTTTTTTCAGCGTCTTCCCAAGTGCTGTTAACTGTTCAACAGCGTTCAAGTGCACTTAGAAACGTTGCGTCGCCTAACGTTCACAATAGACCCGTAACGACTCCAACGTCTTCTTCCAGGATCACGGGACCACAACCTGTTGATGTGAGTCTACATTATTTTGTTGAAAACAATAAACACTTGACATTCAAGTTATTAAACCATTGGTTAACGTATTCTACCTGTAGATAGCGAACCTTATTGCCATATTCCAACGTTCAAAACATTATCCAAGATGAAATGAGATACCATGGCGTCATCTATGAGAATTTGTCACAACTATGTTTCTCCTCTTCGCAATAATTAAAAATCTACTTTAAAAAGGTTAGCATTTCATAGATAGCCAACTATATGCTCATATAGAATTCGTTAATCGATTGAGCAGATAGCCCGGCACGAGTATTGTGTAAAAACCCATAAGATATCTTGCAGACTAGGTATTTCCACGTTTGCTCTCTAGGATCGTTGTGAGCGTCCATCTGTGGAGGAATGGCCCAACTATACGTAAACACCCATTATTGCATATGTTTTGTGAAGCCGAGTCGACTATAGTTTTGATCTCTGAGTCTCTGAGAAAAAAGTTGGTTATTTGGTTGAATAGCAAGATCGCATCTGGATGATTATGTGTATCGGTCTTCATGTGTATAAAATCAGTGAGTGATATTTGCTGTGTGAAAAAATCATTACTGAATATGCTGCCAATGAAGTATATCTATTAGCTGTGCCGGACGAATTATGTATATGTTGTCCTTTCGGAAGACAGATTATGTTCCGATTTTTTACGTTCTTTTGTGTGTTCAAAAACTTTGAGGAGAATGACGGGAAACCACTGTTGCATAATTACTGTTTGCATGTATATGACTTGTAATTCGACAGTGTACAGTGAATATAATTATTTCTTATCTCCCTCATTTTTGAAATTCGGTAAATTTGCATATGAAATTTCCAGAATGGATGAGAAAAAGTGGATGCGGAACTCATTTCTGGCTTTGAATCACACAAGTAAGTGTAATTGAGACAAGAATCCAATGGAATTATCATCAACACACATTATCAGCGCACAAATCCTCACTATGCACATATGCATAGCCGTTACCGAAGCAGATTTTACATCGCATCAGAGCGAAACATTGATAATTGAAGCATCATGACGTTTAGGCAACACGTATAATTAAAAAACGAGTTCAAAGAGTGTCCATCAGCTAGTGTTAATTTAACAACATGTAGAAAAACCTACATAATGTCACAAAACACCAATATGTCAAAAAAAATCGGCATAATGTCACTTTTCAAGATACGTAATACCCGTGCCGTATGGAATTACCCCAAAATCCAGCAAACCGATTTTTATATGTTCTGAGCTCAAGAGTTCCAGAATTTTCATTCTGGTGCAGATATAATACTATACAACAGTTGCTGAAAAAAATATAAACGTGGTGACTCATCCTGCCTCACCCCCGTTTCCATTTTAGTAGCTCTGGAAGAGTTGCAAAGCGAGCATAGGAATTCCTTTAATAGATAGATCTATACGCAACAAATCTATCACTAAATAATCATGGTTGTTTAATTTACAGAACGAAAAACAGTATCAACTGCAGCTTGAAAAAGAACAATACTACAGGCTTATGATAGAAAAGGAACAGAATTACATAGATTTATTGCGCAGCCAAATAGCTTCTTCGCCTGACGACAAAAAGTGCCAGGAACTGGCTAAGACTGAAAAGAATCTGCAGACTTTGCAGACCATGCTTTCTCGGAGCCAGAATGAGGTAAGAATAATTGAATCCTAATTTTCGGTTTATTTAGATTTATGAATTGAAATCAGTATGTGTATAAGTACTATGATGAAAAATAATATGTACGATGTAATTTCACGTTTACAAAACTCATAGAAATTCGTAATATCCAGTTTTGAAAAACTATAGGCCGAACCTATATTCATGCGTATCCATCTGTTCAGGCGGAAGAAAATGGCGTAACCAGTATGCTTATCAGTCCGATTTTAACTGTTTTGTCATTTCATTCATGGTTGTGGGTAAATCTTACATAGATCTATTTTGAAACTTTCTTCCTTGTATATACTGTACTTTGACCGAACCTCATGCTCAAAAAATACAAAATAATGGGATTTTGTGATGATAAAATCGAATAGTTTCCATGCTTATATTATAAATGTTAGAAGATTAATGCTGTGAGATTTGACCTGAAATAAATGTTTTTACTATAGAGTATTGTTTTTTGAGAAAAGTATGTGGCGGCATAGCAGTAGATGAGAAATTAGGCTAGTGGAAGAAAATTATGTACTAACTATTGTTTTTCTATATTTGAGCCATCAATCTAAAAATTTTGGTTCAAATCTCTGTGTAAGAGTTCCCACCTAGGTCAAGAAGTGCTGATAATTGATACTTCACTATATTTGTAACATGCAATATGGTTGTTTTTATCATTTTACTGTCACTCTTTTAGTAAAGTCAAGTACCAAGTTGTACTTTCTAGTTGCATAACTTATGATATGGATAATACCAGAGACAGCAAAGTAGACAACGACAAAATATCCCTTAAAATTTGGTACCTGACTAGTACGGTACTAATGTTTAAAACTGTCCTGAAATTTATGTAAGACGGTTTACTTGGCACTGGTTATTAAGTGTATAGGACATCTTTCTCTACTTTACTATTTTCATATTTGTTATTTGGGCTTTGAAATCTTTTTCAAGTTTCTACACCTGTATATTTTTATTGGTCCTCTCATATTAATATGACCACAGCATTGTAAATAAGCGCGAGTAAATAACAAACTAATCTAATGTATTAATAAAACTAATATTCAGATGGTAAGATTCTTCTTCATCCATGACTGTCCTATTGGTATGACTAAACTTTATAACTTACGACGTATGTTGGTGGTGACTGAAAAAATACCTATTATTTCGTACTTCATTGCTAGAAAAATGTGTATCAACGTAGATTGGCTTAATATTCACCAATTCATAGATTGTCAACGATTCAAATGCTATATATGTATGTATTTTTAAGTAGCCACAAATATAGTATTAAAAAATAAATTATAATCAATAATATCAAGCAGTATCTAAGTAATTTTACTTAGATAAAAGCAGAACGGATCGAAACAATCATCACTAAAGTATTTTAACTCCTAAAATTTATCCTATGCTTACCTCGCCGATTTATCTTTATCATGTTCTACCCGCTAATAAATGGAAATACAGATGTAGAAGAAAAAATATTGACTTTCCGGTAACTTTTGTGGCCTTTGTTGAAAATCCAATGCAATGAATATGACGTTGACGCTTAGTTGTCTTCCAGGTTAACTCGCCGAGGCTGCGCGAAGCCATCATTTTAAGAGCGGCAATGCCTAGTCTGGGCGATTCTGGTCATTGCTGGGTTTGCGCGGTGTTATTTTAATTTTTTATTGACGGCTTAGTGCTGCCTCGGCGAGGTTCCAAACCGTTCAGACTGTTTTTAGAACACACTATATTAACAGCACAAACAAATGTACTGTCTCCTGAAAGGCATAATCAAATAGATAAAAATAATTGTTAATTGAAAAAGGCCTTCGGGATTACAGACCATGCATTTTTCTTCTACATCTGTGATTTCATTTAACTGCGAGCAAAACATGGAGATAAGCCGTTATTAAATCATTCCCACCACATGAATTCTGTTTTAAAGATCGCCCTAATCGTCAGTCAATAGTCTATATTCAACCTCCGCGTGTTATGGTATTTGTCACCACTGACTAACAGTCGTCCTGTGGTTTCTGTCTTCCAGCAGCTGTCTCCGTCGTCCCCGACCGCACACCTCCGTTTCCTCTCTTCCGCTTCCCGTTCCCCCATCCACAAGCAGCACCATCACATGACCCCTATGCGCCGTTGCACCTCCCCCGACATGGTGGGGGAAATTCCGCCTCCATTGCCCAAGCGTAACCACCATCCACGGCACCTAACCGATACTAACCCGAAGCCACGCCCACCCAATGGAGAAATACCGCCTCCGCTGCCTCCGAGGGGGCGTGTTACGCCTTCTTCGACCACGCCCACCGATCCGGACGCAGTCAACTCCATCAGCAAGCAGATGGCATATCCGCTGGTCGCCACTTGCGCCACGCTGATCAACGATGGTGTAAGTAATAAGCAGTTTTGGTTGAACTCATCAATTTTATATATTTTTACCAGGGTTGAAGTGAATTCATATGTTGGGTTGGAGGACAAGTTTCGCGGCTTTCGAAGTGGAAAGATAACAAAAGTATCCGTATTAATCCGTTGTTTAATTAACGCTTCATTGCTGTCAAGTTCAATCTCGGAAATACACTGCTTTGCCAGATAACTTGCATATCTCAGTGCTGGAGAAACGACCACTAGTAGCAAACAGGAAGCGCGAATTCGCATTCCATAATAATGCTCGACTACAAACTTTTTAGGCAACAAAAAGGGTACTGCAAGGCTTCAATTGAAAAGTTATGCAGCACTAATTCTATACACCTACTTAGATTCGCTTTCCACTTGTTTTGCGCACTACAAAACAATATTGATAGCCAGACATTCAACTCAATTGAGGGTCACTTTTTTAAACATATCTCCGCAGTCTTACCTAAGCGGCATTGTAAAAAAATGGTGTAAAGAGGTTATAGACTTTGAGGGCTAATATAGTATTGTTGATTAATTGAAAGTTTGGATAATTCGGGTTATTTATCACCTCAAACTCCGCAAAATTTGTCCTATAGTCCCATATTTCTTTTACGGATTTCTTCTGAGCTAAATGGTTTTTCATTTTCGTCAGAATATTTGAATCTCTTTTAATTCATGAATGTACAAAATTTTCAATGTTTTGCCTTTCATTTCAAAAAGACTTAGGATACAGACTTTAAGTTGGACGCCTATGGTGGAGGGCTGTGATTAACTTCTAAATACTTACTGCTCACAAAACTTCATCCTTCTTTCCTTTCAACTTCGTTAATATTCACAAACTAAGCTCCTCCTTGAACTGAAATCTGTCAGTTATAACAAAGGTGATGTAGAACAACAGCATATAAACGGAACTGTGCTCATTCTTCCGCCAGAATGGCGCCTATAATCTATCCAACGAACGTACGGAGTAATAAAACAAGTGACATGGCAACCCGATTTACACCGCACAACTACCTTCAAAACCGATAATGCGTTATCGACAGTGGCGTGTAGGTTTTAAAATTAATTGCGGTACCATTTAATTTATTTTCACTGTTTCTTCTATCTTTTCATTACTTTCAAGCTGCTATAAGGTTTATTACATTGATATATTAAATAAGCTGCCCCAGTTTATGATTCGTTAACTTTACATATTTTTTATATTACAAAAATAATTTTAATACATGGGACAAAAATAAAGAAAAGGGCTCAAAAATTAAATTCTTTTTAGATTCGATTCTGGATCTTTTTAATATAATACCTAATAATGAATCTACCTGCATTCATTACCAGGTTTATTTCGACGGCTCTATCCGGATAGACTTTAAAGTTTATTGTCCCATTCATGTGTAATGCAGACCGTTTTTTTCGGCAATCCACAAGTCAAACCAAAACTGATAACGTCAAAATTTTGGACAGAGGGCTCCTTCGAAATTAGCGGTCAGGATTAACATAGGATTGGGATAACCTACTTTGAAGTCTATCCGGATAAAGCCAAAGAAATGAACATGGTAATTATATAAGTATGTTTATTGATACAGGTTCTTCGTCATTATCCAGTAAATATACAAATTACATATTTATTAACTAATCACTATCAGTATGATCGATGATTCTGAATCGTTTCCTAAGTTAATAATCACTGGTTCTTCCACTCTTTCTATACATTGGTCAGTTGTCCACATTTTTTCTTCCTCCTTCTCAACATGTTCGATTGCTTTTTTCCAATTTTCCGGAGTTACATTTTGTACCGCGGTGTAAAAAGCTGCTTTGCATCTGCGATCTTGAAAGTTGTGTTTTTTCTGGAAACTTCGTTTTTACCTTGCGCCCAAATTAACTCGATTGGGTTAAACTCGCAATGGTAAGGAGGCAGGCTTAAAATAGTCCGATTGGTAGATTAAGCTATTTCGTCGATGACATACTTGTCAGCACTTTTATTGCACTTGGCCAGATTTGAAAGTTCTGCTTTGACCATATCAATGTCAAAGGGAACATTATGCCTTCGTAGATATTCCTGTATTTCCCCTTTTCTGTTTCCACTGTTTGGAGCTGCATCAATATGCCTACTATGGTATGAAGCATTGTCCATAACAATGACAGCGTTCTCTTCTAGACGGCTTATAATATTTTCAAACCATTCTTCAAATAACTTTCATATCGGCGTGGTAGTCTCCTGCTTGTTTTGATTCAAATACCAATAGTCCGTCTTCTACGAAGCCATTATCAGATTCGATGTGTAAGATAATTACCCGTTTTCCTTTACCTGGAGCATTTTTTAATCCCGTGGAGAGACCTTCCAGGAAGGCTTGCCGAGGATGCTCAACTGATGAAATATAGGCTCTTGACGTCATATGTTATGTCCTAAAGGTATTACGTCCATAGGTCTGCATCAGACTGCATGCACCAAATGGTTCATTTTAGGTAGTGCATCTACTGTATGCATGACAACCGGTTTACCATCAGGATCCGGATTTCCGTTCATGATCTATATAAGTGACTATGAGTGACATCGTGCAAACAATCTTACGCGGTAGGTATCATTGATGGTGATATATCGACTGATTGGTAGTCCGTATGAAGTCATCAGTATGCATCTAAAAAGTTGCCCCTTCGAAAATTCCTATTCGGATGGCCGATAGTCCGATGCGTTTCTTCGACCTGAATCAGTGGACGCATATTCGATCCATTGATGCTCACAACCATCAATTAACGTATTATACCTCAATATAGCCCACCACATATTGTATTTCGGTGCAAAAAAAAGTTATCTTAAATGTCCTACTGCCAACTATGAGACAGTAGCAGAACACAGAAATCTTTTTTGAAAATAGTTAAGAATGTTTGATTCTGCTACTGTCTCGTAAATGGCGCTAGGATCTTCCCTTTTTTGGCGCATTTCTAATCTTTTTTTAATTTTGTATCTTTGGGCATTGATTAACGTATTTCATCTGAAGAGATTCCATTCAAATAGAGATATGTCAAGAGGGGATTGATGGTCCTACCGCCATCTATGAGACAGTTGCACAACCAAACACTAATTTGTTCAAATTAGATGTCTAAATTAATTTTTGTGTTCTGTTACTGTCTCATAGATGGTGCTAAGAAGAACATGCGCATTTAGTTTTCTTTTTCCGTGGGTGAATGAATAAAACAAGGTAATTGACAAATATTTTGCTGGGTAAACATTAGAAAATACTGATCACTTAACATGCAGTCACTATATATTAACAAATGTTACCCTTTTAATTTTCCATGAGTTTTGATAACTTTCTTATCTATTCGCTCATTATACATTTACTATAAACGCACGTCTGATTCATACATTTTTAGTATATCCTTTTGCTTTGATAAGCTTAACGAAAATATTGGCGGAACATGTTGTAATCCGAGTGTAATCGCCTCCAGTATTTACAATATGTAGAAAAAACATACGGCACGACCGTTCTTAGAAATAACAAACATAGAAGTTTATAAACTATACGCCCAATCAGAGCTACGAAATGTATTTTTTCTGCATGTTTACAGTGTAAAAAGTGTACAGTTTATTTAATTTTTCTGTGCGAGTGTTCATCCAAAAAATATAACCATCTGTTTTATCTGATAACGTAGTTGCTAAATTATATTCGGAATAACAGTTTTTGATCAACCACATCGGTAAAATATCATAGAAACATTGTTGGTTCTTTTATATTAGAGCTTTCTGAAAAAAGTGTTTAGTATTCTGATATCGTAAGTTGATTTTTCCAGTTTATTGAACTAGTTACAAAATGCGAGAGAAGCCTTTTTGCGATAATTGTTGCAGGTAGGCATATTTTGGACAGCCTTTAGTTGTTTCAGGTCACGTGATTAGTTTTGCTTTGCGAATGACAAAATATCGACATTTTCGGCTTTTAAATCTGCAATGCTCTTGAGACTGGATAAAGATATACGTGTTTCCTCCCTTACGAGAGGCGTAGATGTAGGATTTAACTACATGGCAATGCGAAAAGTAAAAGAACGGCATTATGCAATTCAGATGAAAATATCACATTACGTTTATTCGTGATTTGTCACCTATCAAAATGCAAATTGATCGATTGGTAAAAGCCAGAAGCATTGGTGGTTCAGCTGATAACACTAAATTTTTAAATATATGCATACCCTTCTTTGTAAGTGAGGTTTCATATATCGTGAGTTTACATGATAGCTCGTGAGTTCGAGTGACATGAGATTAACAATCCCACCTTTACTGTAATATGTGGATTAGACCTTGAGGAATTTCGTAGACTAGGGGGTTGAACATGTAGCGGACATAGAATTTTAGCAAAACTTGTAGCCGAGGAGGGTGGTTTAACAAGCTTACACCCAGTTATTGAAAATATTTTTTTTTGCTAATGAACATAATTTGAAATTTGTACTACTGCTGTCTTTATAATAGTATAAAGGTATGCTGTTCACCTCAATTTTCAACTAAGTTTCATTTTCAGTTTCCCAACCCTACGCACCACCGCACCAAATCCAGTCCAGAGTCGCTCCGTTCCGCCATGACGTCAGCAAAGGCAAATAAGCGGAAGATGTCAGAGAGCCTTAACGACCTGACATCTGCTCAGGAGGCGTGGGAGGCAACAGTAGGTGGGATAGGACCGCCCCCTCCAAACGAAACTCCTCCGGGGACGCCGCCTCCCCCGTATCCTAGCCCCACCCCGCAAGAGAGGAGGAATAGAAACCTAGAGGAGGTACGGCACATTTTTCACGTCTGAAGCTCTTGCCCGCTATGTCATAACACTCTGTATATGTGTTTATAATGGGCGGCTTGAGCACAAGCTCTACAAACACTTGTGCGAATGTATCTCATAGGCAGACCATTGAGGTTAGAATGAATGGAGAAATGATCAGGTTTTGGAGAAAGAAGAAGGGAGATAAGCTTATTTCTGTTGATGAACCAAAAAAATTATTTTTGCATTTATGATTCCAGTTGTATTGCATACTAATATAGAACAAAGTTGGTTATTCTCTCTTTATGTCAGATACCATCGTAGCATAATCCAAATATACTGAACAAATACCTGAGATAGGTTTGGTTAGATCGTTGGGTAACGACCTCACCTCTGCAACCCAAATGGATCTATTGTTGCTGCTGAATCCTCATCCTTGCATAAGTCTCCAAAACTACGACCCAGAAGCTTTTCATGTTGCTTTTCACGTTAGGATTTATTTCTTCAAATATACAAGATCTCTGGTGCGCCAGACCTTCAGGGTTGTATGAAAGATGCTCAGATGTTTTCTCGTGTTATTGCAGAACCTGACGCAGCTTATCCTGCTAGCTGCGTATCATGTATCGATTTAACTGACAATTGACCATCTTTCTGTTATAAACTAGTAGGTTGTCGTCAATAGTAGAAGCATTTCGCTGGTCTCGTTTGTGGTTGTCTCATCAACCATTTCAGGGACTCCTTGCGAGTCTGTTTTATGCCTAATATCTGAGAAAACCTTCCCATAGGAGGTTTCTCATCCTTTCAGCTTCTTCGATACACTTTCACCAGTTGAAATACATTTTATCTGTGTACATTTGGTGAGTGAGTTTCCATTTTTTAGAAAGGCTCTGTTACTATATATCTTGAAATAGTGAAGAAAATCACACAAAACATCATGGATCTTATGGTGTATCATAATCCTTTGTTGAATGATTTTAACTTCCTTTAGTTTCTTTACATGGAAAATACCAGGGTATATTTAAAAAGCAGACAGTCATTAATCTTGATATATTTCAATAATTTGATGTATTTCGACATATCTGATTCAGGGTGTTTCAATAAAGGCAAACCTCAAAGGAGCGCGTTGTTCTATTTATTCTGAGGAATCTGTCACAGAAAGATAATAAAGGAACTAATGCCTTATAAATTGGTGAGACATACATGTTGTTATGCTTTTCTTGCTAATAGAATATTCTTGCAAGTAGATTCTTGTTAAATTATGAGTTCTGCAAAAATCGACTACGGTCGTATGTCCCAAAACTAAAACCCTATAATTACAATAATCAAAAATATGATGCTGTAAATGGCTGACATGTTAAAGGTTCCTTCATTTTTCACTTGCAAGGCCCAGGATTTTATGTTTATTGAAATTCTTTCCCCATTCTCTATTATTAAAAATTCAAATGTAGTGTGCAAGCATCATGTATTTTAAACTGTATGGGGTTTCCGGCTATAAATTGACCCCATCTAACTTTTTTATATGACTTTGCGGAACAAAAAGTTGTATATAAAAGTTTGATATAAGTTTTTCATGTAATATTTTTTTTATCTTAGAAAAGTGATATCGAATGGATTTGTATTTATTAAATGAAACCATGTTTATTTTCAGGGAAAGCGATATTCCCTTTTTTCTGATTCAATATATATATGGTTTATCTTACTTAGTTCCATTAGTTTGACCAATAATTAATTTGTGTGTCATTTACTCATGTGTATCCGAGTTCGAAGTAGTCTCCAACTAACAAAGTGGTGGTATAAGTTTTTGGTAAAAGAACTGTTCAGCCGTAAAAGCTCTCTATTGCTGTTGCCTGAACACCAAAATGCTGACTTAAAGTTTTGTGGGATGCAAATTTGCTTTCTGCAGCATATTTGCTCTAAAATGAGGTGTCTAAAATATTCTTGTAGCATAGTTATACAACACCTTATAGTACAAATTTGGAACTGTGGCATAAACGTTTATACACCCATTTTAAACGGCATATTTGCGCTGTATTTAAAATAGTTGTGTTGTGGCATCCATGGTAACCAGTAATGGGTGTTTACGCGTATACACTTAATTGTCTACGTCTCGATGTATACAATGCGTTTACAATGAATACAATGTATACAATGATGAAGACAATGTATAGAATAGCATAAGTGAGGTTAGGTTTATTCGCAAACGTCAGAAAGTTGGTAAACGCTGAACCAACAACTTAAAAAAATATGGTTGGACGCTCCAAGAACAAAGAAATCGATGAACTATAGTTCATTTGTTGTTCGTAATTTATTTAAAACTGTATCTTTGTATACGTATATAAATAAATATGTATTTTTCCATTATTTATAAACTGCTTCCACAGTCAAACCAATAATGCAATTTGTATCTATCCTGAACTTTCAGTTCCATCTAAAATCGGAGAACCATTAGGATCGATCTAGAATTGATCCCAAACAGGTTCGACAGAAACGTGTATTTGGGCGTATGAAACAAGGCGTTGCAGCAAGTTACAGTTGCGTTCTGTTTCCTTTATCACTGTTGTGCCAGGCAACGTGGTGTGTGGTGCACTCTTTCTACACAAGTGATGGCCGCTTGTCCCCCTCTCCCTCTTCCTGGTACACATGGAAATATTAAAGGGAAAGGGACTTTCGACAGCCCTATATTTATGCAAGTTGAAGTATGATTTGCTATTGTATACATTATATACATTGTATACGTGAATATCGAGACGTATATATTCACCATTTTATACGCGTATACAATGGTGTATACAATGCGCCCATCACTGATGGTAACGTTTATACGACAAACCCGATCCTTGTTGTTTTGTTGTGCAAATTTACTTTAACCAACAAATTGCTCCCAACGGAAGCACTTATACAACTGTCGTTTAGTAACTGTTAAAGGATGTACATCTGCAACAATATTACAACTTTTATAGTACAAAATTGCTGTGCTCGGCATACATTTGTTGCTAAATATGTTGATATACAGCTTCACCATAACCTAACTTTATGCTGTCAGCTTTTTAGATTAAATGCCATAATCAATATTTTAAAACAAGGAACGCATGAATATTGGTATAAAAGGATTTATCAACTTTTCAAGCAGAAGATATAGATCCGGTACAAAATAATCTAATAAACCAAAGACAACATGGATGATGTCGTGATTATTCATAACCGCCCGCCATATTGTGTAAAAATATATTCCTCTATTGAAAATCAAATAAGTATGTTTCAGTCCGATATTACAGATATAAAGTGATAAACATTAGTGTTATTGTGTCTAAATTTAGGGTTTGAGGAAGATTTAACGCAGATAAGTTCAGTTTATCATCCTAAAAATCTAGACATACTTTTGATCATCATTAAAATATGAATCAAATACGAAGCCCGTAGAAAATGCGTAACTACTTTGTACGATAATCACAATAATTGCTGTGCAAGTAATTCGATAGCCCTATAGCATAGTGTAGAAGTTTATCATATACCTGTGTATGAAATTCACAATGCCCGATATGTAAGTAAACAAGATGACTGTAATATGTTAGTTATATATTATTCACTTCGCCTATACGATACATAAGAAATGGTTTGGTTGCAATAAAGTAGAATCATGTAATAGAATGGTTGTATAGTGGACAAAAATTGAGTCTTGCACTGACGCAAATATTCTATAGCTGCTGCAAGTGGCTTAACTTTTGTTGTATAACTGTTGCCTGCAGCCCTTATAGACCTGTTAAATGACTGTAGTGTCCTATTAGGTGTACCCATTTCGCTTGTATAGCTGTATTAAGAGCTTTTTGCCAATGTTCTTGCAACATACAATGCTGTGTAAGAAATACTGTATAATCGTTCTTGTAACTCTAATCGGAATGATAATTGTTAGCTGGGAGTTGCCTATGCAATCTGGTATATACAATATTTCACGAGTATCCATCGCGGTAGAATGACAGCTGATTATCTAGTAGTATATCAAAATTCCCCATATTCGCACAAGACATAATTCTGACGGTTTTTTGTACGCTACAGATTCATTTTGCACTTGCTAACAGCTCTTTTATTTAAAACAGTTCATTTGCATACAAAAAACAAAACGCTACAAACAAGTTTTACTAGATTTGCACCCGATTCATTATTGCCATCGTCGCCGACTAACACAAAAATGTCACTTGGTGATCAGCTGTTCACCTCAGTAGACGTCAAAGCGTGATGGATACTCGTGAATTAGGGTATAAGGCCGGAATACATATGACACACAGGTTTTTTTTTAAGTAATAAAAGCAAGTTCAACAAACCATGTATATTTGGAATCATAAAAAAGCGACTATTATTTTCACTAAAAAAAAAATTTTCTGAGACTCGGTATACAAAAAAAAATTTATACGAAAACCTTCATACTAGACCCTATAATTTGTATATTCGACTTTTTCTTCTGGAAGGTCAAATAAAAAAGTTTAGAGCGGGTCAAGTTATATCCGGACCCCATACAATGCTATATGATAATAAGTCGCTTATATTTCAGGGTTTTGTCGATATGCCAGACATGTCTGGTATACGAGGCAGTGGTTCTGCTAGGATTTTAGCAAATAGCATGCCTATACACGCCGCTACACCTCAAACTAGCCAACAACCTATTATGAGCATGGAGGATGACGAAATCTCTGATCAGGAAGTCGTAAGTATTTCAGATTCCTCTTTGAAAAAACCGAAACTTTAGTAGTGTTTGCTTTTAAAGCTTATGCGTGTTTACAATGCCAATCTAAGTAACTGAAATAGATTGGTTATATCCGTTTTTCTAGGATGATGATCCTCGTTATTCCGCTCATGTGTTGAAAAAAAAAACCTGAAATTCGTATATTGAAAGGGCCTTTGTATCAGCTAGCGGTAGAACCATACATTCTATGTCAAACTATCAACTTCTTAGAGTAAAGGTTGTTATTTTTATATCTCAGGAATACCTAATTGCCATGTCAGAAATAGGGTCATATTCTTAGGATAGATGACATGTCGAATTTTTTTACATCACGCTACGTCGTTGTACATCATAACTTTAACGAAAAAGTTTACTTCGGAGGACAAGTTGTGCCACTTTTCGTATCTAGAAAAGTGAAAACCCTCAGAATACATTTTTTGGGGGTAAAATAATGTTATTCCCATCAAGTATTGGACAATGTCCTGTTGTCCAGGTGGGTGTGGTAGACCCTAATATCTGTCAGACATGGTAGAGAAAGCGAGAGAGAAGAAGGGAACTCCAAGTGTCTTTAAAAAATAACAATAAATACTTTCCTGTTGAGCATAAGGAATATAAATAGAAAACATTTAAGTATGAAGTACATTGTCTTCAAGTCCTAGGATGACCATTGCCCAATGTGTCACTTTAATAATGGAATCGCTGAAGTGTCATTGAGATTGCATCCCTCTGAACCGAGACAATTATACACAGTTAACTTTTCTATTTTTCTAAGGTGTTTAGTAATAAGTAAAACATACTTTTATTTGTTTGCAGACTCAGCTGGAGGACCACGGCCATTTCAAGTCTTTATCAAAGCTTTGGGAGCATCTACCGCATTTAGCTGTGTTCACTAACTACATTCTATCGAATTCGGATCCGAACAGCTTACTGTTTTACCTTATAACCGACCTCTACAAAGAGGGAAATGCCAAAGAAATGAGGAAGTGGGCCTTCGAGATACATTCTAGTTTTCTGGTGCCTGGAGCAGTAAGTACTATAACATATTTTTGAATAAGACAAAGTGCATGTTCAGGCATTGATTTCCAGATGGTTTGTAACCGTCAACAAAGTTGACAGAAATTCGTTGCCAGACAATGTGTAGGGTAATGCTTTAAAATAGTTTGCAAGGCTATATGCCATTTTGATAGCTTATTGTCAAAAGATAATTTTTGTGAGATAGAGCTTGCTTCATCAGATTAAGTATCTTTCATTCGGTCCATTCCCTTTAGTGTCAAAGTACTGTATTCCTATATTAATGCTTTGACACCAAATATAATGGAGTATGGTAAATCTAACTGCAGTTTTTCAGGATTAGCATATGTCACTTGTGATTAAATTTTACCTTTTGATTACATCGATAGATCATGCCATTATATTAGACCACTAGTGAATTTTCGCCGCTGCTAACCTGTTCTAATTGTATGAATGGTTATGTGTCAGATTAACCTATTTAACTGCCAGAACGTCTTTTTTGCCAAATGGAAGAACATATTATGTAGAAATTGATGTTTACTGAAGTTTCGGCCACCACAGCGGCCTCTTTCAAAGTGAGTAAAGAATAATTTCTACATATGTAGTTTCATTTGATCAGAAAACATGGAGTCAAGTCATCATGGAAACCACAAAACTAGTTTTAGATGTTACATTATTTAGCTGTTGTTTATTCAATGCTCATTTACAGGGATGCTGGCGACCCACTCTTTCTCACTTTTTTCGATCCATATCTCACTTTTCATTGAAAACATTCACTTTTCTCACTATTTTCGCTCTCGCTGTATATATTGTAGTTTATGAACGTTTTCGAGGGAGCTGCCTCGTTCTCTCCACCCCCACGAAATTAAATTAATTGATCTTTTTTTAATAAAAATTAACTATGACAAAGTTGTCCATGTAGAGGGTTCTCCCTAAGCTGAGCCAATGTGTATGTATTACATGAAAAATTACTAGGATTAGTTGGAATCTACGTTGAATTTTAATTAGCTTTACTAAAATATATATGCAGGAGGGATTTCAAATTGGGAAACGGTAGACAATGTAATACAAAATCATTTATAAGGGCAAAGTTCCGCATTTAAGTAACAAATAAAATGTTACTTGGACTGTTTGGCAATTCAGAGAATTTTTAGATATACAGAGAGACAGAAAATACGAATTTTTCCTGGACCATTTTCATTTTGTTCTGGCTTAATTTGAGCTGGGATTTCAATATAAATCGCATTAACATTGGCACTTTTTACAAGCCTTGTACAAGTAACTGTTAGTATGTTAGTACGTTAGTATGCATGTATGGGACAAACCCTGAAACTTAATTTTGAACCAATTAACCTTAACCAATCGAGCTGAAATTTTGTATGCCTGAGTGTGACAATACATAATGAATTAACTGCAGCCATTTTGAATCTAATATGGCGATTTATGGGTATCAAATGAAAAAGCTTGATGAGAGAAACACAATAAGCAATCTGAAGTCATTCTAAATCCAATATGACGGAGGCCGCAGTTTGGTGATTTATTATTTTCATAATCACCCCTACAATATGGGCATCAGTTGAAAGGGCTTGGAAGAACCACAATAAACAAAATGTCATTTCAAAACAAATATGTCGACCGCCGCAAGATGGCGTTCATAATTTGGGCTTCATGAGAGAGATACAGTAAGCAACGTGATGGTATTCTAGATCCAATATGGTGTCCGCCGCGAAATATCGATTTATAATTTCCATTGTCGTCCCCATATTATGGATATCAAATGAAAGGAATAGATGAAAGAAACACAATAAAGAAGGTAAAGGCATTCAAATCCAATATGGCGGACGTTTAATATGACAAATTGACAATGCAATATTATTATGACATCGATATGGGAACACATCGAATAGAGCCTAGCTTGATTTCTAATGAGAAGTACTTTGGTCTTATGGTCTGATGATTAAGTTTGCCAACTATTGTGTAAAACAAACTCATTTAAAATAACTATCAAATTTAAATTTTTTAACATTAGTTCGCTACAATGTAGGGTTAATCAATTGGTCAAGAATACTTAATATAAGTACGTCTCCCGCATTTAGAAGAATTTGTAATATTTTCGATGTTTCTTTTATGCATCGTACGCACTTGACCTTGAAATATGCATATATATGAATAATTATTTTTGCTTACTTCAATAAAACATTAATAAAGACCTTATGTGAGTTATTTTCGTATTTTTTCACACATTCTTATTTATATTATACGCTTCAAATTTGGCATAATATTCAATTTCTCAGAAAATTAACTCACTTTTTTATGTATAAATACTTTTGTCTCACTACTTTTTTTGAAAACCTCACTTTTTTCACTTAAATTCATGCTTTGGGCCGCCAGCACCACTGTGTATATAAAATATTCTCTTTCTTTGTTGCATATTTATTTTTCAACAGAAAATCATAATTCTTTGTAAAATTTTCAAGGTGCTTTTTGCCTACGCTGAGTTATTCTAAATTTTCTAAAAATTAATTTGCGCATATGACTTTCCTATAGGTATCATGTTACGTAGGAAGTGCAATTTTGCTTATTATATAATTATTGGCACTCATTCAAATTATGTGTAAATGCACACACACCTATATGCTTATACATTCATAACTCGTTCACACTAGGTAATTATCGATTATCGAAAAACTTTTTCTGTATCCTTGAATTTATTCATTGCATTCACGATTAAATGAACTATAGTAAAATTAAGTCCAGCATGAATATTTTCATTTCTTGTATTGGTGGATCTAGTTTGTTCTATATCCATTCAATACTTAGTACTTTTTAATGCAATGGAGGTATTTTTCAAATATTTTTTCTCAACGTAATATCATTCCTACGAAACGCCGTCAACAGTACATAAAGTATTAATTTAAGCGCATTTAAATCCTCTGAGAAAAAAGACAGTTACTAACATGTAAAACAGGGGAATTAAATGGACTTAGAGTGAGATTTATAGACCCCCTTTAAGGCTTGAGCTTCCTTGGAAATAATGCATACCAGATAACTCATTGGAAACAGTGAATCGTTGACGCTTCTCCTTGAGGAACGTTCAAGGGAGGATTTAAATTGTAATCACAAGCTGTCATCGATGTCAGAAAGATTTTTCGCTGGCCGTGTTGTGATTATATTTGTCCTAAATGTCAACAGACAATGCAAAATAATGTTTGCTTCCTCGAATTACAGCGCAATCACAGAGAAGTAAAAAACTGAATATACGCAACCAGATGCACCGAACTGTTATGCTGGTTGCAGATTGTAGATTACGCCTGTCTGACTCAACTACTACACTATTTCACAAAAAAAAACATTTAATACGAAAATTTTATATTAATATAAATTATAATGTGCTTTGAAGAAATAGAAGTTTAGCGAGGAGAAGATGCATTGGATCGAGATGCTAGACAGATTTAAAGGTATCATAGAAACTAAAAACAGAGTACGGTAGCACCAGCAGATCATTTCGGTGCTACTGGTTACCTATATTCAGCTTTTTTACTTCTCTGCACAGCAGTTCGAAGAAGCAAACACATTATTATTTTGTATTGTTTATTGATATATATATATTGATACAAATAAACTAAATCGTCTCATTTTTATGATCAAAATGCTAAGGGCCGTATCGTCAGTCGTTCCTGCAATTGTAGGACGCCTTTAAGCCCTCCTTGATTTTCATATATTCTACTGTTCCGTGTCAGCGTTCAATTTTGAGGTATCTTACAAATAGATATTTGCATCAAATAATGCTCATGCTTTTGATTTATATCATGTTTGATCAGCCTGAAATTTTCTACAATTCAAAAATCATAACCTCACAATAGGAGACCGCTGACGCTGACACGGAACAGGCGAAATCTAGAAATACCCTAACCTTTCTGAAGGAGAAAAAAGACTGTAAAAGTCAAGGAGGCCAAAAAGGGGCCCTACAATTGTAGGAACGACTAAATAGATATGACCATCAAAGAAAAATATTTTTGATATCGATGACAGCTTGTGATCACAACTGTTACAGACTACTGTGAGATGAAAATTTAAATCCTCCCTTGAACGTTCTTCAACCGGCATTGTTTTACTGTTTCGAATGAGGAACCAATTGTTTCCAAGGAAGCCTCAAGCCTCAAGAAAGGTCTATAAATCTGAGTCTACGTTAGTCAAACAGGCCCCCACAACTAGTCCATCGACATTCTTTCCCCTACTGGTAGTTAATGTTCATCTGGCAAGGTTGTCCCTTTCCACATCTGCGCGGCATCACTGCAACGAGTTATACGTTCATTTTGTCCTAAGTTTAAAAGGCAAATCGATGGAGACATCAATGGTGTGTGAAATAAGTCCGATAGATGTATTACCGGGATTGGGAGCGTATCAATTCAAAAATATTCCATTACCCTCCCCCACCCCTACAACACCCAACCCCCGAATTTCATTTCCTACAAAATTTTTTCTCAAGATGATCAGGTCGCCCTAAAAAAACGAAGATTCATCAATTTTTATTTTTTTCGTTTTTTGATTTTTTCTGGCAAGCTTTTCCGTCCTTGTGTGAAAATTAATGAAACTTCCAGCAGTAATTCCACAACATTTTGGTTCATCTTAAATATTGAAATTGTATAAACATATGTTTTTGACGTATGACTGCACGACTGCATTTTGTCGGGGGATATTTCCTAAGAATTATTACTTCTACTAAAAAATCAGAATCTTCGAGCTCCTTTTATCAGCTGCGGTGCCTCGGTATTTAGGCTTCTGCCTACGTGGCTGCTTCGGTGTAAGAAAAGTTATTAACCCATATCGTTCAAGTTCATTTGTGATTCATATCGAGTCACCAAAAAGTCCATGGTGTTTAAAACATTTTTTAAAAACTCTATTTTGGAAGTGTTTGATTTCAACATATCTTTGTCTGAATAACTAGTTCCACCTAGGAAGACTCAGCTTGCGTTGATTATTCCAGGACATGGTTAAATTTTAAATTATGACCAAAGTATTACGAAACTTCTCAAGTATTTCACGAATTTAAGGTGTTAACTTGATCAAGCAATTTGAAATTTGTTTTATGTTAAAAAACTGATTGCTGTACTTGTCTCATATATTGTTGAATATTTTTAGCCACTACGCCTGAGCAATGTAGACGAAAACATCCTACGAGAAATCGATGAAGTTCTGACCAACGAATACGATAAAGAAGAAATATTACGGAAGGTCTTCTGGAAAGCTCGCTTAAGGGCCAAAGAGGATCTCACCAGGCTATTAGTAGATTTCCAGCAAAAAAGAACGGCTGGCCTAGGGACGATTTTTGGCCCGCCCGATCAAGTCCTTGCAGAAATATACAACGACAAAGTGAAAGAAAAGGAATTGTACGAAAGTCTGTTTTTGGAAAAACTAGTGCCTTATTTAGATGAAGTAGATAAAGATAGTTACGATTCGAAGAAATATTACACGGCAGCAGCGCTCACCACTGTGCTGACTAGGATATTCCAGGTTCATCCTATTAATCTTACTTTGGAAAAGTGCCCGACGTTTGTTACGAAAGAGAAGTCTTTCAGGACCAAATTCATCGGAAAATACCTGAAAAGGGTAAGTGATAGATATTATTGATAGTTCGTTTATTTTTTTAAGAACTTGCATATTTTCTGAGACTGATTTGTAAGTGCAAATATAATTTTTGCCAGAACCAGTAATGTGTTTATTACGATTATGTTCTATTTCCATGTTTTAACGAAGGCAGTCTGAAGGTTGGGTTAATTTAGGATTATGTGTACCACAAAACGATCATGATATATTGACCGATCATTATGTACATCTAATTCGGATCACCCACATTCCATTTTCAAGATTTTGGACTATCATGGTTGAGGATCCTAGCCGAATGACCAAATTGAGTGTACATAACCCGTAACATAAGATGGACATTTCTTCGTATATGCGACTCCAGATTATCCATTGGATAACCAGGAAAAAATCATAAAAGTCATACGGACTTACGAAAAATTATTTGTTGGATCGAACACAGTGCCTTAAAATTAATAATACATTTAGTGAACCTCGTATCGTATCATATTTATAGTTTGTCCTAAGGCACATTATAAGGGCCCATTTTATTCAATCTATTAATCAACGATCTGTTCAAATTGAGTAGTGCGGGTAAAGTTATCGGTTTTATTGATGATATGCATATACTAAAAGCTAAAATCGAAAATGCTTATAAAAGTATTTTCGGAAAGAACAATGACAATTATTTAAAAAAAAAACACTATACAGCATTTTCTTGTGACGATAGCCTCTCACCAAATTTTAGTCAGCTTGAATTTCATACAAGCAGTGGTCTCAAAGAGATTCAGTTAACTGTAAAATAAAATACCGATTTTGAACAAACACATGAAATGGAATGTCCATACATGGTGAAGAGATCTGTATTGTTCCAAAATTCAGATTCTTTAGAGATATTCTGGATAAAAAATGTCTATACAATCTTTATTATGCTAGTGTTTACCCTTCACTTTTTTGCGGACTTTCGGCTTAGGGGAGTTATGAACAATTAACAAAAAGGTTGATGTTATGCAAAAATTAATTCTCAGGTTGATCCTCTATAAGGAGATTACCTACTCAAGTTATTCTTTCTATATAGAGGCAGGACTATTAGACTGATAAATATACAAATTTATTTTACAGTGGTCTAGTATATTAAAGATTCGAAATAATAGAAGCTCATTATTCACAACTACAAAACAAGATTCAATCAAAATTCAGTGGCAAAAACCATTTCTCAAGTATCTCTTTTTTTTTCTTGGGACCAAAATTCTATAACTTCATACCAGTCATTAAAAGCAATAAAATCAGTTAGATCATTTTAAAAAGATCTCAAGAAATGGATTTTACAACAACCAATATCAATAATATTTTACTTATCACTAACTCTCATACAAATAATACTTTAGGTATAATGGTCTGGATGTACTTTATGACATACCCGCATTAATTCATCTCCTCAAATTATAAGGTATTTATATTGTTGTCATTCATTGTAATTTTAGTTTTAACAAACCCAAACAACTGCAAACTTCGTTACTTTATGTTTGTTGTGCATGATGCTGAGGACTTACCTGTACTTTGTGACAATAGACATTATTATTCTATAGAAAACAGTATACTTCCGAAAATATTAAGTAGATTCTTGATGCGTACTGAGGTACACAGGGTCTTTTGATTGGACAATTAAAACAATATTGAATTTGATATACAGGGTGGACCAGAAAGACGTTTGAATTTCAAAACCGCATTGCTCGTGACAGGCACGCGGGAGCCGAACACGGGTAGTGGGGATAAGTAGCTCGGAAATTTAGTCGTTATGCAGCGTTTCACCGCTGAGCAGCATGCGTTCTGTGTTGAGGATAATTACAAAAATGCAGGGTCGTACTCTATTGCGCCGCGTCTGTTTCGCTCTGAGTTTGGTTTACATGATCTAAATCAATGTCCTAGTGAAAGTGTGATCAGGTGATGGATCAGAAAGTTCGAGTGTTACCGGTACGGCACTGAGTCAGAGCAAACTTTAAGCGAAGCTGCGATGTCCGTACGGCGCGATCCACAGTTATCATCCCGAAAGAGATCATCTGAGCTCGCCATCTCAAGAACATCTGTAAGGCGTATTTTGGTAAAAGACCTTAAATTGCACCCATATAAACTTCAACTAGCACAGGAATTAGAACCGCAGGACCACCATCTACGCCGTGCGTTTACCGAAACAGAGTCAGAGCGCTTTCCAAGTTTGAACAATAGTATCTTTTCTGATGAAGCTCATTTTAGTTTGATTGGATTTGTCAACAACAAAAATTACCGGTATTGGGCCTCAGAAAATCCCAAATAAAAACACGACATTTGTCTTCGCGTTATGTTACTGTTTGGGCTATTTCTTCGAAAACGAGAAAGGCCAGACTGTAACAGTAAATTCTAATTGCTAGATAGCAATGCTACGTAACCTTTTATTTCCACAACAGCATAATTTTGAAACCTACCATAGCAGGACCTGGTCTCAACAAGATGGCGCGAAATCCGCCAACGAGTTGTAAACGAAATGTTCAGAGGAAAACTGATAATCGCGACGAGGAGGCATTCCATTGCCTCGTCGGCGCTCAGATCTCATGCCACTGGATTTTTTCTCTGGGGGTACCTCAAGAGCCGCGTTCTCGCCAATAAACCGACGACGATTGCCCAGCTCAAGCACAACATTTCCAAGGAGATGTCCGCTACCCCATAAGCGAGTTTTCACGTCTTGATGCCTCACATCTCAATGATGTTATTTTAAAAAAATTAAATTTCCATGTTTATTAATATATATATATATATATACACCTTAGGAAAAACCATTGTTATACATGGGAAATCATTTCTTGGCAACAGCGCATCGGCTCGTCTACTTTCATCGCTATTCGTACATATTTCCTACCGTTAACCGCAGACCTGTATCACGAATGAGTATAATAGGCAGATACGCTGTGTTGCCAATTTGAGTAGAGCTTCCCGAATTGTGGGGAATTTAGAGTTAAGTGTTGATTCATTCAAGCTTTTAATCATCATGGCCTAGACGTTAGAACTTCATAAAGATAACATTGAAGCTGAATGCTGCTGGAGTATAGTGTTTCGAATATTCAAAGCGGAGCGGGACACTATACTCGTTTAATGGGTCATCCAGTCTTTTCGACAAAGAAATTATTTTACGAAAATGCGTTATATTTTTACGTTTTTGTCGTCACCAAATCTCTGTTTCTCAAAATGTACGTCTATTGTAGAATTTTCAGCAAACTAAGCAAGAAACGTGATCTAGTATTTACTCAACATTACGGATTTCTCGAAATACATTAAAAAATGTGACCTAGATACCTAACTGCCCCAAGCTCTTTAAATATAACACCTTAAACCAGGGTTACCAGGTTCTCAGTCACGTTGATTGTCATGTTGTACTGCGCAAGTCAGCAAACAATCTGGCGTAATAAACGTTAGGAATCATCAGGTATTGCCAGATTCCCGAATACCGGGCACCATAGTAACCGTTATAGTTGTCCTTCAAAGTTGTCAAATCGCCCCTATGGCGCAAATTCGCCACACCAGGCAACTGTGCTATAAACAAACCCTGTTTATCACTACTATTTGATAGTCATATGGTAGTTGTAGCCCTATATAGCGGTCCATGATTTCTCTCAATACTGTTGTATCTCTACTGGCAACAAAAATAGGGATTACAAAATCATTTATACAACAATATACAAACATGAAAAATATGATTTGAATCATGAAACATTAATACAATTTTAATAGTTTGAACTTTTTTCATTTTTGGAATACTCTTATGTGGAATCCGCAGCTATTTTTCCCGAAATTTGGGTAGACTTAGATTTCTTAGAAATATGACATATTGGTATCGGCAACTCTGCGAATGGGAGAAACAAATCGCATTTGTTGAGCGCATCCGTCTAAGCGGTATGGCGCCTACCCGTGCTGCCATCTCTCCCTTTTATCACTCTTCTACTTTACCCCGTTGTTCGTCACTCTCCGACGCTGCCAGATAGGATCCTACAATCGAGTGTCTTTCACGCACCTACATACTTTTGTATATTTCCATCTCTCTTCCTCATCATAATGTATAATAATGGTTTTTCCCAAGGTGTATACAGGGTTATCCAAATTAAGTGTCCACCATTAGTAACTTTGTTATTAGTGAAAATACAAAGTTGTTTGAATTAGCAAACTAGTAGCATTTTTAACGCTGGTAAAAATGAGAAATAAAAAAAACAATTGAGAGTCGTTATTTTGATTTTTTTCAGTAAAATAACATTTTTTTAAATGGAAACCCCTGTATATTATATTTTTTTCTGTTAAAGCATCAAATTTTAAACAAAAAAGTTCATAATGACTTTTCCGCTAAAGTCAAAAGTAAAGTCAAAATAACGATAAATATTTTTAATTATTTGCAGTATTATAATATTAAGACGGCTATGAAAACAACATGGCGTTCGCGATTTGACAGCATTAAGATAAGCGACAAATTGTTAAACTGGACATACTCGCAACTAGAAGGCTTTGGAAAACAATGATAAAATCAAATAATGTCAAACATTAGTGTAAATACTTGTTTATAACTGAAATTAGAGTCCTTGAGAATATCTGCTATTGAATTCTGACGATAAGCTTCAAAATATCCAATAACTGCAATTTCCGTGGCCTCGCTAAAATAACGACTCTCAATTGTTTTTTTTTTATTTCTCATTTTTACCAGCGTTAAAAATGCTACTAGTTTGCTAATTCAAACAACTTTGTATTTTCACTAATAACAAAGTTACTAATGGTGGACACTTAATTTGGATAACCCTGTATATACAGGGTGTCCGCAAAGTTGGGGTTTTCCTTTACACGACGTGTAGATCTTGAAAACATAAGCAATTTTTCTTAGTACCATATACACAAATGTCTTAAGGAAACCGAGATAAAGGGCTCTGCAACATCAAAAATATCTGAATACCGTCCTGTAGCCGCGACATCCCCGACTGGTACTAGGACACTAGCTCAACCTGACGACAGAACTG